CCACTCTTGCTATATGATATACTGATATAATTGCTCAAATGGMTGTCGCACTTGATTCAATTCGTTTAATCACTCTATCAAAATATAGARCTCTTATTGCAATTTTTKAACTCTTTTAYGCTCACACTAAACTAYACAYWCACGAAAAGGGTGTATTTTTCAATTACGTCATRATGTCATAATAATATTTCTTATCTTTAAAAGTTCAGGATATAATTTTTACCATCCTTAGGCGTCCCTCTAGTAGAGCGTTTAGGACTCTTCCCCTCGGTTTAATGGATACGTCCTTCAATTACTAATAGTAAGCTCTCACTTTCGGTATGCATTTCTGGGTCTCTCTCCAGGGGCGGATCTAGCATTTTTACTGACTAGTTTCCAACTCGAAAAATGTTGTATTGACATATGCCAATTAATTAAAACATGAATATTCATTACGTCGGTCCAAATAATTTAACTGCCTGCAAAATGATGCGATTCTAATAAACTGATTTAAGCCAATGTTTAAACATAACCTAACTTAAGTTACACAGAGACGAGAATGCGCGGTAGATTTAATACACTAGTAACCTGCAGTAGCTACCGAATTCCAGGAATTGTATTTCGAGTTTACTGTAAATTATCAATACTCCAGTTTCGAATTCTCCAATGCTCTGTGTTAGCCTCATTTGTGCGCAAAATATTCCTTATTGTGAGCGTAGAAGTGCGAGATTTCAAATCAAATTTATTGTCTTTCTTCACAAAATTCCATGCGTTTTCTCGAGCTATTAATGAAACAAAAGAATATGTTACTTGGTTTTGAGGCTATAAACACAGAGCAAACCAGAACTCGAAATTGGAGTATTCTTAACTGTGTATAATGTGTAACTTATTTGGTTCAAGTGTTTTCATTGTTTTGAATCACCATGAAATTAATTTCAATACATACCAAGCACGAAGAATGTTCACATGAAGTCAAATCAGTCGGCGATTCCAATGTATGGGAACTTTCCTTGAACGGTTTCACGAGTGGCTTGACCACATTCCGACACAAAAATAACAGATTCAAACAGTTTTGGAAGCAATTGTGGCCGCAATCCTTTTTCGATTTGCTTAGAATTGTTATAGGTAATTATTTCAAACAATTTCCCTCAAAATCCGTTGCTAACTGAATGACACAAAGTTTCCCAAAGATACTGACATAAAACCTCACCAGGGTAGGGTAGTTAGTGGATTCGACTGGTTTCTGACTAGTTTCTGGTAAGCTCCTACTCCTCCCTTGTACAAATCAAAGCTCGATTCTGATTGGCTAACATTAGTATTCAGGATTCCTGTGTGAACAGCTTTGATCACGGAAACTAGTCGGGATACCTTTGTGAATCACTGATGACGTCAAAAGAAACCAGTTCACTCACCTCGCGAAAGTCCGCTGTCAGACAGCCACANAACGCAAGATTAGCCAAATTTATCATTGAGTTATTCATGTTTGGCCTTAAAGGACAAAGTTGTTTCCACGTATACAAGTCAGCTTGGGGACTACAAACGACTCTTATAAAATTATCAACATACATCATATGAGAAGTGCTAAACTGTGAAATAACCTTCATTGAGCAATGTGGATAAAGGGCTCATATACGATATATTTTATTTCTTGAAGCAAAATTTCCCTTTTTCATGGCTGGTGATCGCAATTAGTGACCTTAAAATATAGAGTATCGCTATATTTAGATGATGTGCTAAGGAAAAAAAATGTATCAACGGATGTATCTTCTTATTTTTTTTTATCACTCGAAATAAGCTAAATAGAAAGTTCAGTTTCCAGGTTACAACGTTATATTAATCTTAAGGTGTTTCGATCGTAATAAATACCGCTTCGCGCGTATTTTTAAACTCCAACTACGTTGCAATTTTCGATTCCATTGCACTCAAATTTTCACAGAAGTAACAGTGATAATTCTTGTTGATAAATTGATTTGCAAAAA